CCGTATCCTTGAGCGTATTTTTATTTCGGCCTTCCGGGGTTGACCACGTAGACATCTGCTTATAATCTCCTCCAGATAGTCATTCAGCACAAATTGGTCACGACGACATAGGGCGTCGCGTGTCTTTCCCTCCGGCTTGTTGCAGTGAGTCTGGACTCGCTTGAAGAGTGTTCTCACACAGTCTCGCTTGTGAAAACTGAGAATTCGCATGATGTTCTTTGTCTTAGTATACATTTTCGTCTTTGTTTTGCCTTCAGGACTTCGCCTTACGGGCACGTCAAAGGAAGGACAATTTTGCAGAGGGTTCCGACTTGACTGGTCGCGCCGTAGGCAATCGAACTCGCCGCCTGCTGAGAGAACTGCGCGTTGCCGGGGGAATTTTCATTATGCAGAATTCGCTTGATTTTCCCTTATCAGTATTCGGTTAGATCGCAGTTGGTAGCCAGGAATGGGGAGGCAGACGGCGGGGTCTCTGTCTTACGGGAATGGTGGGAAAGGGGGTAATATGGGTGGGGTAAGTGAAAGTGCAGCTGGACGAATGCTGCAGTTTCGGGGAAAAAATCAAGTAAACGAAAAAATGAATGGGAAGTTTTAGGAAGGTAATAGTAGAAATTGAAAAAAATCCTGCGGAAAACAGGACAGCCCGCGTAAACTGAAAGAGGTAAATAGTGACAGGATAACCCTAACCGTTAACCTGTATCTTAAACTTAACCCTAACCATAAACAACCATAACCTTAACCCTAACCTTAACTTTAACCCTAAACTAAACCCTAACGGTAACCGTAACCATAACCCTAATTGTTAACCACTAATCGCCAACCGATAACCCTAGCCCTGAAATTGAACCCCAAGCCTAAAGCCTAAAAATAATCGTAAACATAAACCCTAACCCTAACACTGAAGCCGGACCCTATAACGCAACTCCTAATCCTAAAACGTTACCTACGCCTAGCCGTAACCCTCACTAAACCCAGCAGCCTGACCGAAACGGCCGACCTACCTCACGCAGTAGAAGCACTAGGCAAGGTAAACACACCCACTGATAACAAGTAAGTACGTCGACAATATCAACGAACAGTGCCTGACTACCAACTACGATCTTACCCAATATTCTACCCGTTAGTATTGATCCATTCATACGCGTACCTGTGTGTATGAACCCAGAGAGATCGTAAACGCACAGGTTTCAGTAAATCGACATTAGCGCAACGCGGTTGCACAAATAATCAAATTACATCATAGGCACAGTGAAGGTGGTTTGACCAGAAAGGGGACCATGGCAGGTGTGGGAGGTTGAGGGAGGGGTGTGCGTGAAATTTCTCAGTTTGCAGAGGTCAGGGTTTTAGATAAGAATTGTCATTGCATCCGCTGTCGTCAGAATGTGCTACCCTAGTGACTTATCGCAGTCCGGCAGCCAATGGGGTATTGGAACAGCCTTATCGGTGTTAACCCGGAGTTCAGTCTTGAGCAAGTGCTCCCTAAAGACGGCTTTGAAAGTTCCATCTATCAATCTTAGGCAACCAAGCCAGTAGGAATACTTTACTTCCTTTTTGGAGGCGTTAGTGCGTCCGCCTGATGCATGCGTTTCAGAAAAATTGAAAAAGGTTGCTTAAAAGAGTGGCCATTCATTACTTATGTACATATATATTGAAAAACTTTCCATTTTTCACTTTTTTACAAAGTTTTCAAAACTCGCTCTAGGCAGTCCCTAGGAGCATATTTGACTGATCCTATATGTCCTCGTAAAGACGATTCCTGAAATTTATAAGCGTAACATTACATACAGTGGGACCGGCACTGATGAGTGCCGTGTGCTACACAAAAAGATGGGGCAGGCACGGTGACTTGCGCGTGGATTAGTTTACAATAATAGTAGACTTGCTCAGCATATATCGCACTCTGTCTTCCCCATTCCCCACCTGGATCCGGTTTCAAGACAGAATCAAGAAGACCGGAGGCGGGAGAGGACGCAGGTGGATGGCTCGGACGGATCCTCGCCTTGGCGCTCCACTCCGCACCCCCTGGTCCACACACAAATGACCAGAATTTTGACCACAAAACAATGGGTTGTTGACAGTGGTCCAGTTATGCGACGAATGCCGACGACAGGGTCCGCCAGCGCACCCCGCACATGTTGGCATTTGTTATTGCGCACAGATAACGCCTGCCAGAGTCCGATGTGGCCCCCGTGTTGGTCCAGCGCATCTACCACGTGGCCCGTTTGGGGGGCGCCGCACACAAACACACACACACGACAGTTCGACCGTCGTTGCCGACGACGTCTACCCTGTGCTCCACAACAATGTGAAGGAGGCCCGATGACTTGCGTAGGATTAAGTTTATAGTAAATGTAGACTTGCGCTGCATCTACCGCACTCTCTCTTCCCCACTCCCTACCTGGACCCGGTGCCAAGACAGAGTCAAGAAGACCGGAGGCGGGAGAGAGCGCAGATGGCTGGCACGACCGGACCCGCACACAGGCGCGCCACCACATCTCCTGGTCCACAACATACATCTGACCAGGATTTTTCACCAACAGCAACAACACCCCAACAGGGGTCAGAAGGACGAGGATGACTGGGCAGCCATGACCACCACCTGTATACCCAGCGGGAGCGCGAACGCATCTACCAGCAGGGAATCAGGTATCAGTGAACTGTCAGCGCACACCAGGTTGCGAGGGCCATGGTTTGCTGATGCTGGCATAGCACACGCTTTCAAACCTTTTGACACACACATTCGAAGAAATGATGGGTTCTCAGATAGTACATGAGTAAAGGCCTCTTATAGGGCTAGGCAAGAAGAAGTCATCACATTCTGACCCTCGTGCCAGAGGAAAAAGGGATTATGTCGTTGAGTATCAAGCTCCCATGTCTCAGAATTCAGCACGTTGTAGTAACTTTAGGCGCGCATGCTGGACTGCCGTGGACAGGAATGCCTGAAGGAAGGTCTCGCTCTCTCCTCCATCTCACGTGTACTAGCGGCTTCCCCGATTGCCAGCTGATTGGCAACGGAAATGGAGGCACTGGTTGACTTGGGATTAAACTCTGCCTAACGAGTGCTACTCGCCTCTAAGACATTAGTCAAGGCCTCCCGCAGAAGCAACAAATAGTGACTAGATCACGCCGCGAGTTAATATGGTTCCCGTTTTGGTCTAGGGCAGCAGCAGCTCGAGCAATCTGGGGAGGGAGAGTGCGAAGAAAGGTAAGTTGTGATCAATTTCCCTCCTGCCTCCCACCGCACTCCGGAGGTAAGCAAGAGCCTGAAGCTGAGGTTCAACACAACAGCTGATTTCTCAATAGGTTTGGCTGTCAGGCGGCACACACACATGTTTGAACTTCGTTTAGATCTGATGCAACATCTCCATTCGTCTACGGGGTCAGTAATGTCTAGCTCCCCCGAATTCATGCGGGACTCTGCTGTGTTCGTTATAACGATCTGGCATGTGCAAGAGGCCAGTTTCTCACAAAGTCATGGTGATGGGCATATAATTCCTGGCTTTTGAAAAGAAGGCCTTCTACAGGTTCCGCCAGTCAGCTCGAAGAAGCAACACCTCTAGTAGGGCTTAGAGGTCCGCAACGGACCCCTGCTTACTTGGAGGTGGCGATCTGAAGAGCAGAGAGTTTAGCACCAGGACGCGACTTTAAGCTATGCTCAATGCTAGGGAGGTCTTGTGCAGTCGAAGAACTGAGCCCTTGTTTCAGTGAACCTGGTTTTACCAGGACAAGGGAAGTGTCAGTTGGCCTTGAACTGATCTCATTAACATCTCGTCCTGTAGCGCACTTCCACCGCCTTGGGGACCAGGTGACCGCCTTGTTCGAACGAGCAGGCATGACTTATTTAAGTTTATGAATAAGGTGCTGTTGCTGCGGTTTGGATCTGCTGAAGTGCTTTTTGAAGTCAGAGAATGAATGACAGAGAATGTTGCGTTCAGTGGCAGAGGGACAGTCACTGATCGTTCTTACGGAACTCACTCGTTCCGTTGCGTCTTACGGGCCCTCTCTCTCGAGCCCAGCCAGCAGCCGCACAGCGACATATGATAAAGACAGAATGGTCAGAAATGGCCATTCCAGTCTCCCTTGTCTTTGCCGATAATAACAGCGATCGCTTCTTCTTCTGGTCAATAAGATAATGTTACGTTCGTCGGTAGGCCCACCCTACCCTCCTGTCTATAGTTTCTCTGCAGTTTCCTACAGTGGTTTAAGCGTATGAGTGATAGTGGAGTTTTTCTAAATGCTACACTTTTGCCATTAGTCGATTTCTATATTGACGACAACACTCTGATTCCCGTGACATGCTTACTTATCCTGTGTGCAGACAAACTGTCAATGTTTATAATCCTTTTTTGCGGCTTTTGAGTAGATACCGGTTTCCTTTTTGATGGTTTTGGGGGCAGAACGCACCTGACATGTACTTTCCAGTCCAGGACACCTCCTGCGATCCGAACCGCTTACTGTCTCGTTTCAGCCCCCTGCCCGCATGCAGATGTCGTGGCGTATTCAGCGTCCTCTGCATGGATGCCTAAATAGAAGGTATCTATTACGATAATCCCAGGCTACTTCCAGATCCTGGCATAGTAGGGAGCAAATATTTCCTTG